TGAGATGGAGTCCTGCTCTGTTGCCTGGGCTAGAGTGCAGGGGCACGATCTCAGCTCACTGCAACCTCCACCTCCTTGCCTCAGCCTCCCAAGTAGCTGGGATTACAGGTGCCCGCCACCACATCAGCTAATTTTTTTGTATTTTTAATAGAGATGGGGTTTCGTTATGTTGGTCAGGCTGGTCTTGAACTCCTGACCTTGTGATCCGTCCACCTCGGCCTCCCAAAGTGCTGGGATTACAGGCATGAGCCACTGAGCCTGGCCTCCCTCTTCTTATAAGTCATTTCAAATGAGGGCTCACCCTAATGACCTTGTCTTAACTTGGCTTCCTCCGTAAAGGCTCTCTCTCTAAATAAGGTCCCATTCTGAGAAACTGGGGATTAAGACTTTGTGAAAGGAAAATAAAATCTCAAGACCCCCAGACTCACTGTGCCAAGGGGAAAAGTGAAGCTTGGGATCTGTCACTGAAAAAGCAAGGCCAGGCGCGGTGGCTCAAGCCTGTAATCCCAGCACTGTGGGAGGCCGAGGCGGGTGGATCACGAGGTCAAGGGATCAAGACCATCCCGGTCAACATGGTGAAACCCTGTCTCTACTAAAACTACAAAAAATTAGCTGGGCATGGTGGCGTGTGCCTGTAATCCCAGCGACTCAGGAGGCTGGGGCAGGAGAATTGCCTGAACCCGGGAGGCGGAGGTTGCGGTGAGCCAAGATTGCGCCATTGCACTCCAGCCTGGGTAACAAGAGCGAAACTCCGTCTCAAAAAACAAAAAAACAAACAAAAAAAAAACAAAACAAAACCGAAAAAGAACTACTTTCCTTTTGCTCCCAAACAGACAGCGGTCATTTCCCATGCCTGCTTTATCTCACGTACAATGCAGGTTTTACCGAGTGCTCCCTTTTTCACATGTAAAATGAGGACTCGGTGAGTGGCAATCAAAGCCTCACAACCACCTGCCTCCTTCCCTGCCCTCCCGCTGTTCTTCTTTCCTCCTGTCACGTTGGATGCTGTCACACCATTGCCCTGCCTTCCTCTTGTGGCTTTGGTGGAGGTGACAGTCATATAACCAAGCAGATGAGAAGACATCCTACCAGACATTGGGTCATTCTGACTTTGCCTTTCTACCATCGCACAGAAACACCCCCAGAGTGGCGAATGGCAATCTGTTGGCAAAAACCTGACAGGGTGGCTTTTCTTCCATCCTTGAGTGACTCACCCCTTTCCCATGTTGACTGGCAGGGATGGACCAGGAGGGCCTCTCTGTCCTGTCTTTGCAGGACCCACCCGCCCCAAGCCACAGAGCAGTTATGGTGGGTCTCAGCCTTCACCTGGTGAGTGGCTGTGTGCAAGTGAGTGCAGGTGTACGTGTCATTTTGTGTCACTGTGTGTATAAGTGTGTGGCGGAGTTGTGTATGGAGTGTGACTGCATGAGGGCATGTGCCTTAGACTCCACTGAGTGTGTTGTGTGTGTGCGTGTGAGAGTGTGTAGGCCCAGACATATTTTGTCCACACCCTTCTCCCTGGCCCCCAGGTGACTGGGATGGAGGGATTAAGAGAGGGAGCATCACCCCTCTCCCACTGAGTTCAGGGATCCCAGCTGAGATCCCACCTGGGGACCTCTGAACTCAAATGCAAACCTGGAGCCCAGGGGTGATGTGAACATTCTGAATCAAGGAGCCCTGCGAATTCTGGGCCCTGTGGAGTCCTGCCTAATTCCTACAGCTGCTGCCCTCATAGCCAGTCAGTCTCCTGGTATTACCGCTGGGCTTCTCCATCATCAATAAAGTCAACAACAGCGGCAGTAATTCAGAGAGAGCCCACAGCCATTCTTTACTTCTATCCAATACGAGGAGCGTAAAGAGGACCTCCTGATTTTTTTTTTTTTTGACATGGAGTCTTGCTCTGTCGCCCTGGCAGGAGTGCAGTGGTAAAATCTCAGCTCACTGCAACCTCCACCTCCCAGGTTCAAGTGATTCTCTTGCCTCAGCCTCCCGAGTAGCTAGGACTAAGGTGCACGCCACCACACCCAGCTATTTTTTTTTTTTTTTTTTGTATTTTTAGTAGAGACAGGGTTTCACCATATTGGCCAAGCTGGTCTTGAACTCCTGACCTTGCAATCCACCCGCCTCAGCCTCCCAAAGTGCTAGGATTACAGGCATGAGCCACCACATCCAGCTGGGGACTTTCTATTCACACTGGAAATCCAGGTCTTAGAACAACCGGGGAATTTTCTGGATCCCCGGTCCCAGGCAGAACTGGAGTCGGGTCTCAGAACTCCCCCGCTGTGCCTCTTCCCATTGTTCCTCTGTGGACTGCTCTGTCTGTGCCAGATGGTCAGTCCCGAGGCTCCTATTTTCTTCAAGAGAAAATTGTGTGGCCCACACATATGGCACACCCTGTGCAAAATTCTGGACTGTCCCCTAATGCCCTCTAGGTGTCCACCAAGGCTTGCCATGGAGAAGATAATCTAGCCCTTCCCACTTTCCACCTGGGTTCTTGAGTTTTTTTCTTTGAAAGTCTCAGCTCCTGAGCCTGGCTTGCATGGCCTTCATAATCTTGTGTTTCCAACCTCATATTCAGCTCGCCACCCCCAAGACGCGATGTCCTGCGCACTGCAGCTCCCTCTGCATGGACGCACCATTCTTTCTAAGCCTCCATCCCTCTCTACAGGTGTCCTCCCCCCACCCAACTCTCTAGAGTGCTCTTCTCTCAGCTCTGCTTCAGGAACCGACCTTCCTGCTACAGGGCACATCAAGTGCACAGCTGCGTGAGTCTTTCTGTAGCTCACCAGAGAGAACCACTTCACCCTCTGCACACACCTCCGCCAAAGCCTTATTGTGTCCTGCTCATTGTTTATGTGTATGTCTCACCCACTAAGCCATCCAGAGTCTTTTTACTTTTTTTTTTTTTTTTTTTGAGACAGGGTCTTGCTCTGACACCCAGGCTAGAGTGTAGTGGTGCAATCATAACTCTGCAGAATTGAACTCCTAAGCTCAAGGGATCCTCCAGCTTCAGCCTCCCTAGTAGCTGGGACTACAGGCATGTGTCACCATGCCCAGCTAATTTTTGTTAATTTTCTGTGGAGATGAGGTCTCACTATGTTGCCCAGGCTGGCCTTAAATGCCTGGATTTAAGCAATCGTCCCACCTTGGCCTCCCAAAGTGTTAGGATTACAGGTGTGAGTCATTGCCCCAAGCCTGGAGCCTTCTTTTTTTTTTTTTTTTTTTTTTGAGAAGGAGTTTTGCTCTTGTTGCTCAGGCTGGAGTGCAGTGGTATGATCTCAGCTCTCTGTAACCTCCGCCTCCCAGGTTCAAGCAATTCTCCTGCCTCAGCCTCCCGAGTAGCTGGGACTACAGGTGCCTGCCACCATACCTGGCTAATTTTGTAGTTTTCGTAAAGATGGGGTTTCACCATGTTGTCCAGGCTGGTCTCAAACTCCAGACCTCAGGTGATTCACCCCCGTTGGCCTCCCAAAATGCAGAGATTAAAGGCGTGAGCCACCGTACCCGGTCTCAAGTCTTCCTTACCAGCCGGTTCTACTCTTTTCCCTTGATGTTCTCAGGGCCCAAGGCACTGATGTCAGTCCCCAGTGTCCCAGTTGAATGACTTCACAAAGCCACCTCTGATTTCCTGGATGTGGAAGGATAAATGCCCTCTGCCTCCTGCTCTGCCCCTGTCTTACCAAGTGCCCGAGGTCCCAGCCCCACTCACCTGAGAGGCTGAGAAGGAGCAGAGCTGGGGAAAGCCACATGGCTCTACCTTCCCGGCTCCTCATCACCTGATCTGCATCAGTGGCAAACGCAGATCCCAGCTGCACTCTGGAAGCTCTGCCTCGGCCCAGGCTTGCACCCTGTGCACATCTAGACCGCCTTTGACTTTCTTACTCATTCACTTCCTTTTATAGAGTGGGCATTTCCTCCTTTTAATTATTCAACGAAAGAGGTGTCATTTTTTGGCAGGGCTGGGCCGCAGGGCCTGAGCATCTTCACTATGTGAAAAAGACGAGGGAGGGGACTGTGCAGGGTGAGGAGGGGAGGGGGAGATATGTCTGCAGAAGGAGTGGGGTGCGCGGCATCTGGCCTCGCAGGCCTTGGGTCCCAGGGGCGTAACACTCTCCCAAGAGCAGGGAACACCCAACTCAGATGTCAGGTGAGCCATGCTGGGCACACCAGAAGATGCATTTGTTCAGGTGTTATGGCCGAGAGCATAAACGTGCAGACTGCTGGGTCAGATAGAGCTAGCTCTAAACCCACGGGCACCACCTGCAAGCTGCATGACTGTGGACAACACAACATCTCTGTGCTCAGTTATTGCATCTATTAACTGGGCTCATAATGTTTGTTGTTATTATAGGAGTTATTAAGAAATTATTTTAGGCTTGCTTATAGCCATTATTGGAGGTAATGAAAAAAAAAGAAATTATTTTAGGCAGATAGAGAGGAAAAGGGGTCCTTGGGAATTTTTTTTTTCTTTTAAAACAGCTTCGGAAACTTTTTTTGTCTAGCAGAAAAGCCCTGGCTCTTAGAGCTGGGCAGGCAAGCTTTGATGTGCAAATGCAGGCCTTGGTCCAAACAAACATGGAGACTGCCACCGTCTTCTTCCTGACCCCACATGTGCCTGGCAACAGGGCTGCCCCCACATATCCTCATGTGTTTAGAACCGCATGGCACCTGCATTTGCATATTAAAAGGCTAGGGTAGGAAGGATAGTTTTTTCGTGGAGTACTTGAATGACATCCGGTCAAACCAATCCCCTGGGCCCTGTGCAAATCAGATACCACTTCCTCCAGCCTCCTCATATAACTGGCTGTTTTCTGCCACACTCAAGGTTCCCTCTATCAGCTTGGAACCCCCAACCCTATCTCTGTACAGGGGGAGCCTCTTCTTTCTTTCTTGTCTATTAAATTCTCTGCTCCTTAAAACCACTCCACATGTGTCAATGTTTTTTTGTTTTTTTTTTTTTTTTTTTTTTTTTTTTTTTTTTTTTTTTTTTTTTTTTTTGTTACCCAGGCTGGAGTGCAATGGCGCGATCTCGGCTCACCGCAACCTCCGCCTCCCGGGTTCAGGCAATTCTCCTGCCTCAGCCTCCTGAGTAGCTGGGATTACAGGCACGCACCACCATGCCCAGCTAATTTTTTGTATTTTTAGTAGAGACGGGGTTTCACCATGTTGACCAGGATGGTCTCGATCTCTTGACCTCGTGATCCACCTGCCTCGGCCTCCCAAAGTGCTGGGATTACAGGCTTGAGCCACCGCGCCCGGCCCGTGTCAATGTTGTTTTATTCAAACTGGTGCGAGACCAAGGTGTCCCTCCAGTCACTGGAGCCATATCATTTTGGTGCACTGGGCAAGAACCCAAAGCGTAGATTGAAGTGGTAAGTATAGGGGTAAGCTTAAAATCTGTGCCATCATTTTTGAGGCACTCTTAGCCTCTATTTTAAAATAAAATAAAATAAATCAATGGGCATCCATCAGCCGGGTACATACACTTAGTGCTGGCTGCCATCATAAAGACTCAAATGTGAGGCTTGCTGGTGAGAACATGGAGACCCCCCGCGCCCCCACAGTGCCACCAGGTCATTAGGAATGTTGGCCATGTTTCAAATCAGCTTCTTTTCACGGAAGACCTCGCCATTGTGCAAGGCTGAGAAAAGTTCCAAGACGACTAATAATTTCTGGCCAGGACACACCCTGGCATGATTCAAAGGCCTCTGGACCGGTACCAGCCTCCGACAGCCCATTCTGCGTGTTGGCAAAGAATCCTCAACCGTCCTGTCACAAAACTCTTCTTCCTTCTCTATCTGCAGTCTCTTAACTCTTTCTCTGTGTGAAATGTGCAGCAGTTTTTACAGCCTAGGAAAGTAATCCTGTTAGGCAAAGTCAGGAGAAGACGCCATTACAATCTTCTAGGAACAGAGTTCTCTTTCCCCTACAGTGAGGTTACTCACTACCACTTCTCTGGTGAGTACACAGTATTTCTAAGCCAACAGTGCCACCTAGTAGAAATAGAAATCCTCTACAGAAGGCATATATATATATATATATACACACATATATATATATATATATATACATATATATATATGTATGTATGTATTTTTCATGGTAACACTACAGCTTCCTTTTGCACCATTAGAAATCAGGCTCTAGGCCTCTTCTGGAAATGGGAAAGTTCTGCCTTTAGCAGTTAGGAGTAAGATATCTCCTGTAGCCAAATTTTAGTCTCAGTATCGTCCCATTGGCAGGAAAATGGCCATCTGGTTCCTATGTTCCTTTAAGTCACCTATTCTGTCTCCGATTAAGATGGTACTTAATTAGTAAGGGGATTTTGGAGTCCAGAAGTTAACCAGAACCATTTTTCTAAGGGTAAATGCTTTAGCCATAATAGCAAGATATAAAGTTCAATCTAGCACTCTTCCTCCCTTAAAGAGGTCTTGCACAATTATGTAGTTTTTCTTAAAATCCATTTTTTGAAGGGAGGCACACAGGTCACACAGTCTAGGATGTCAGAGGGAAATAAAAGGCAAAAGACGAAGGCTGCTTGAGGAAGCGTAACTAGACCCAAAAGTCTAGTTTCCCTGGTGCCATGGCTTGGAGGGTCATGCCTGCAGTCATGGGCAGCACATTTCAATGGGTGCCAGGATCCAGGAACCAGGGAAAGAAAATGGGCAGCACATTTCAATGGGTGCCAGGATCCAGGAACCAGGGAAAGAAAATAGTTGGGGGAACGCCCCCTACTGTTTTCTTCTCCATCCTGGATCACATGCAGAAAAGGATACTAAAAGAACACTTTTATTCTCACTTCTCTTTCTAGATGGGTAACAGGTTGTCTTCATGGCACTTCCAACCTAGGTGACAGAATGAGGCTCATCTAAAAGAATTAATGTAGTCAATCACATTAATAGAATAAAGGAGAAAAACTACATAATCATATAGATGCACAAAAAGCACTATCTAAAATCCTTTACTTTTCATTATAAACTAGGAATGAAAAGGTGCCTATAAGCAACTATTTACAACCCATGGCAAAATCTTTCCTATAAATCAGGAAGAGGACAAGTTGCTCAAAATCACTGCTTTGGTTCAACACTTGGATTAGCCTGCACAATACAACAAGAAAGAGAAACGATATGAGAATTAGAAAGAAAGAAACAAACCTCCAAATTATTGTAAATGAATTTATTATCTACATGTAAAACTGAAAACACGTACTAAGATTTTTGGCAGAGTTGTTAAATATACATAATCAGTAAAGAGCAATTGTTTATCTACATGCATGCAACGAATAACTTGAAAATGCAATAAAAGATACCATAAAATGAGAATAGAAACATAAATGCCCAGAATTAAATTTAACAAACATATGAGCAAATTTTAAGTAGAAAATAATAGAATGTTATTAAAAAACATTTTAAAAGCTCAAATAATTAGAATTACATACCATGTTCATAGATAGGGAAATTATTATAAAGGTAAATTTCATACGTTTACATTTAAAGTCTCAACAGAGTTTTTTTTTTCTTTTTTAGAATGTTGACCAGTTAATTCTAAAATATCTGCAGAAGAGGAAACGGCCAATATTTGCAAAGCCATTCCCAATATCAAAGAACGATGTATAGTGACATGCCTTACCAGATACCAAGACATTTTAACACAGCTATAGTAGTTAAAACAATGTTGTGTTAGTTCCAAAATAAGCAATTAGGCAAATTCAACATAATAGAGTGGTTAGAAAAAGATCCAAGCATATATAGAAATAAATACATGCCAGGTATTGCACTGCAGAAATGGGAAAATGGGATAATGTTTATCCAAATGGAAGACAGAAAAATGGATTATTATCTCAGCCTAGAAACAAAAATCATTTAAAAATGGGTCAAGGATTTACCCGTGAAAGGGAATATTTTTAAAATTTTAGAAGAAAATATAGGAGAGTTTTTTAAAATTTGGGAGTATTCATAATTTGTTAAACAAGATGAAAAGTATAAACCATTAAGAGAAATAAATAATTTCTACATTAAAGTGAAAACCCTGTTTCTCAAAAGATATCATAAAGCTAATAAACTAGGAAAGGATATGTGGAGCACAGGTAACTAACAAGAGACTTGCAAAGAACTTCTACAAATCCATAAGAAGAACACAGACAATCAACAGAAAGTAGATGAAGATGAGAACAGGTATTTCACAAAAAAGAAAATTCAAGTAACCAAAAAACACATGAGAACAAGTTTAATATTAGTTAGCAGAGAAATTCAAATTAAAACAATGAGATACCATTTCATACTCATTAACTTGAAGAAATTTAGGAAGTCTGATAAGATTTGAGCAGTAGCACTGCTGATGAGGAGTGGAAATTGGTGCAGGTACTTTGGAAAACAATTTGCAATTGCCTAGTAGAGCTGTTACACACATGCAGCAAAACCTAGCAATTATTCCCTTAGAACTATACTCTAGAAGACTCTTTTGGACAGATAAATTAGGATATGTATTCAAAAATGTTCATAATAATGTTATAAGTAATAGCAACAAAAAAAGAAGAGGAAAAGAAAGAAAGGAAGAAGAAGAGAAAAAAGAAGAAAGGGGGAGGAGGCGAGAAGTAGGCAGGAAAAAGAGGAAGAAAGGAGGAGGAGAAAGAGGAAGGAGAAGAGGAGGAGGAAGAGGAAGGAGAAGACAACAAAGGATGGAGAAAGATGAGGAGGAAGAAAACAAGAAGCGCATAAAAAAGAGAAAGAGAAAGAAAAGAAACAACCTGAATGCTCATTCAAGAAAGAGGGATGCGAGAGTTACGGGATATTCACACAACGACAGAATGTAGATCAATGCAAAGAAGTGACACATCGATGCATCAACACATCAACATGGATGAAT